CCTCCACATCCCAAGGCACAGTTCTTAGCAGCTCAGTGCCACAAATGCAATGTGCATACGTGGTGGAGGCATGTGGATAGTCTTTAGCTCCAACCCTTATGTGGAAGAGCATGTGTAGATGAATTGCTGTTTCTTCTTGCAAATTAACACTCCAGAAAAAGTAGGGCTCATTCGTTCAAATTTAATGAATGTTTAACAATATGAATCACTTTGACACAGAAAATTATCCTCATAGGTGTAGTATTTCATTCCACAAGATTTTATAGATTATTATAGATTATTATTATCATTATAGATTATTATTTTTAAAATATTTCTTTTCTCTTTATTTAATTTGCTGTACATGATATGACATTGAGTTAAATATTCTAAGTTATACTTCCTGATTATGTGCCTCAGTAAGAATTCTTTAATCTAGTTTGTTAATATGATACACAGTTGATTGCGCTATTAAACAGCCCCTAGATTCCCCATACAGTGTAATGCACTGTTTCAGGTTTCTGGTCACTTCAAGTTCCAGTGCAAAGGCCCATAGAGAGACTGTAAGTGGGAGTAAATGTAATGAATGACCAGTACTAATCATTTGCTGATGACTGCAAATTCTCTCTGCACTTACCTTTATAAAAGAAAACTGATGCGTGTGCCAGGTTTCTTCTGACAATGGGTAAGTATCATAAAGAATTCCTGAAAAGCAAAATGAACAAAGTAAGAACTTGCATTTGTTTCCACAGCCAGAAGTTAAATATGAGACAATGACAGCTTGCAATGAGGCAGAAACTTTTAACGTAGTAAAATGTCACAAGGCATTTTACAAGGATGTAAACTGACAAAATAAATTGAAACCAAGGCAAAAGAATAACATTAGGTCAAAGTCTAATCAAAGAAGTAGGTTTCAGGAACATCCTGAATGAGGAGAGAGATTTGGAGGTTTTCAGGATTGGATGCCAGAGATTAGGGTTCAAATAGCTCAAGGCACAGCTACCGACAATGGGAACAATGAATTCAGACACATATTCATCCAGCAGTGGAGAGAAGCAGAGGTCTTGTTGGAGGCTTATCGGACTGGAGGAAGTTATGGAGATAGGAATGAGGCCAAGGTAGGTGTTGAGCTAAAGGATGAGAAATATCACTTTGCAATGCCTGTACACTAGTTGCAGAAAGTAAGCATGCACGTGCAGCAGGCAGTGATGAAGGTGGATGATATGTTGCTCTTCAAAGCAGGAGGATTTCAGTAAAGGAGCAAGAACATCTTGCAGCAATCATTCAGGGCCTCAGTGAGATGACACCTGGAGTATTGTGTGCAGGTTTGGTCTCCTTTTTTGAGGAAGGATGTTCTGGCTATTGAGGGAATAGAATGAAGGTTTACCAGACTGATTCCTGGTACGGCAGGACTGAAGTATGAAGGGAGACTGGATCAGTTAGGACTGTATTCACTGGAGTTTAGAAGAATGGGGAAGGATTTCGTAGAAACCTATAAAATTGTAGTAGACCAGACAGAGTAAATGCAGGAAGATGTTCCCAATGACCAGGCAATCCAAAACTATGGGTCATAGTCTAAGGATACGGCCATTTGGGAATGAGATGAGGAGAAATTTCTTCACCCAGAGGGTGGTGAGCCTGTGGAATTTTTTGCCACAGAAAGTGTTTGAAGCCACAATGTTGAATGTTTTCAAGAAGAAGATGGATATAGTTGTTAGGGCTAAGGGGTTCAAATGGTTGAGCTGGCTTGAAGAGCCAAATGGCCTACTCCTGTTCCCAATTTTTATAATTCTTGGACAACTCAGTGCACTGCTGAGTCATACTGATGTGCAAGGTCATTGTCTATCATAGTGCCAGGGTTTCTGGTCTCAGCTGTTGACCCCAGAGTCAATTACTAGAGACTAGAAAATTAAGCCCAGATTCCAATTCCTGATCACTAACTGATGATCCTGTTGGAAAATTCATGCCTGTCGATTTCGGTGGTGAAAACAGATTCAGGCATGACTCTGTGACCATACAACTTGCTGAGCTCCCTAATGAGATTGTCAGAAGTAAGGAGAGATACTGTGTGCCTCCATAAAATTGCAAATGTTTACACTGACAGAAAAACTTTCAGTTCTACATTAGCAATAGGTGATAAAAGCCACCTTTTTAAACATTTAAGTATTAAACAAAAGCAGGAATTACCTTGAATTCTTAATGCTGGAGAGGTAGCCAATTTATTTGGCAGCTCTTTCCAAAAGGAATTTCATCAGCAGTCAGTTGCTGGAAAAGATAGCTCTGCACAGGTATTTACTCCTGAGTGGCTCAGCTCCCTCAATGATTAATCTGTACACTCAGCTTTTTTGCCACATTGTCCAACATGGTTGTCTTGAAAATCTAATTTGTGTTGGAAATGTAGACAGCATTTGCAAACCTATCATTTTTTTCTCTCCTAAATATTACAACAGTTACGGTGGGGCAGCCATTCAGTCTCATCATTCTATATATGGCATTACCTCCTGTCTACCTGCAGCACATGCTCCATTCAAATAAATTGCATTTTTTAATAATATTCAAACTGGCAACCCAAATCACAGCATAAAGTTCTGAATTTTATTATCATCTAATGTTTTGTTATTATTGTTTATCATGTAGTAATTATGACTGATTCTATTGATATACCATATATTGGCTTGTTCACGAGCTATGCAGTTTACTGTTACATTATTATTTTGAGCATAGAATCTCTGTAGTGCAGATAGAATCTGCATTGACACTGTAAAGAGCAACCCATCCAGATCAACTCCCCACTCTATCCCTTTAACCCCACATTTAGCATGGCCAACCACCTAACCTGCACATCTTTGGACTGTGGGAGGAAACCAGAGCACCCAGAGGGCAGGGGGAGAATGTGCAAACTCCAGACAGACAGTCACCCAAGGCTGGGATCAAACCTAGGTCCCTGGCGCTGTGAGGCAGCAGTGCTAACCACTGAACCATCATGCCACGTAAGAGTTTGAGCTGTTTACAGAAAGACTTGAAGGCACATGGGCAGTTTTCAGCTCTACCAATGTCACAAAACAATTCATCAAAAATCTGTGATGAAGTTTCCTTTAGCAGTACTGTGACTGATATTACAAATGAAAGTCTGCAATAAAAAACAAAAATAAGATACGGATCAAAAAACAGAAATTGCTGGAGAAACTTGGTAGGTCTGACAGCAACTGTAGACAGAAAACAAAGTTTCAAGTCCAGAGACTCTTCTCCAAACCTGATAGTAGCTAGCAAAAGGTGGTATATATGCTGAAGACATGGAGTGGGGGTGGGGGTGATGGGTAAGTGTGGACAGAAAGGAGTAAGTGGGTAGGTGGAGGCAGAACCCAGAGTCAGAAAAAGAGACTTGGTTAGCCAAACTAGGGATAGGCAACAGTAATCCAGGGAAGGTGAAAAACTGATATTGGAACAGTTAGTAGGTGAAAATGGGTAGGCTGTGCTGAAAGTAGCCCATGACATCACCGAGCCTGGGGTGTAGGCGTGGACAAAGGACATCAAACGAGACATTCAGATTCTAGACACTGTAAGCAAAACAATATAAGTTATCTGAATTGGATGATCTGCATATACAAAATAAAAACTGATAATATTGAAGTATTTGATCACTCAATCTCACCAGCCTCATCAATAAATATTTACAATATATTCAAAGGGCATACAGGTGCAGAACAAGCATACCAATTTACACATTATTTTAATTCTTTAAATCTGCACTTCAGTCTTCCAAAGTCTTTGACTTATTTCAATTCTGGCCTGTTCCATATCCTAAAAGCTTCTCTTGCATTGGTAGTCACCTCAGCTGCCTAGGCTTGAAGATCTGAATTTCTTACTCTAAACCTCACTGCCTTTCCCTTCTCCTTTAAGATATTCCCTAAAACCTGCCTCTTTGGCCAAAGTTTTGTCATCCATTGTTATAGTTCCTTATTGGGTTCAGTGACAAATTTTATTTGATAACACTCCAATGAAGTCCCTTGCTACAATAAATGTGTCACACAAATGCAGGTTGTTATTAAGGCGCTACTAAAAATTATGACCAATAGTTTAAATGGATTCCTGTTTTCAGAATCCTATTTATCAACATAATTTTTTTTCTTTAAAAAAAGACTTTTTTACACTGCCAACAGTTTAGTAGTAAAGTACTTCAGAGGAAAAATACTAGCGTCAAACTTACCGTCAAAATGTGAATCTGGTAATGTGGAAACTACATCTTCCCAGAGGCCCTTGAGGGGAACAACCTGCATTGGAAAATTTACAAGATTAATTTCAGTTATGTGTCAAGTGTGACTACTCTTCCATAATTATTTGTACATTAGCAGAAAGGTGGGATCTTACTAGGTTGCTGTTACAGAGAGAAACACCATTGTAAACTTGATGACCTAAAAGGCTTCTGTCTGTGCTGTAACAATCTATGGGCTGTACCTTTTCTATCTAAAGGAATGAAAGTCTAGCATTCATATATTCCTACAATTTCTTTAAAATATCTCAAGCCAGTTCCCATAAATTCTGTTACTTTCAAATGCAATGGCTGTTGTCATGAAGGCAAGGACTTCATTATTTTCCACACAAATGCAAAATATGCACTCTTTTAGACTGCATATTAAAAAAAACTACTTACTGAACATAAAAATAAATCAAAGAACTGCGGGTGCTGAAGGTCTGAAACAAAAATAGAAATTGCTGGAGAAACTCGGCAAGTCTGGCAGCATCTGTGGAGAAAGAAACAGAGTTAATGTTCCAAGTTCTGCAGTTCTAAAGAAGCATCACTGAGGTTGAAACATTAACTCTGCCTTCCCTCCACAGATGCCGCCAGACCTGTTGAGTTCTTCCAGCAATTTCTATTTTTATTTACTGAACATTACAGGCTATTTCAAAAATGATGAATCCACCTGCAAATGTCATAGTACTTGAATTAATGGTCTTTGAAAAAAAATGTTTTAATATATTTTACAGTGTGGATTTAACAATGCACTCAACAATCCCCATGCAAATTATTCATGTTGTACACAATTATACTTGTATTTTTTTCTCTATTCATTTTTTTCCCAATGAGTTTACTCCAGCCGGGAGACAGGGCCAAGGAGTAAGAGTTAAGGTTTGGGTAGCGTGAGATGAATGATAATGTGTTAGTTCATCCTAGAGATGAACCAGCTCACTAGACCATAGTCTTCAATCAGGGATTAGCATGTTTGCCTACACTATGTGCTTCCCCATCTAGTACCTGGAAGGACAAGGGGAGCAATCATATGAGAAACAACCAGAACCAAGCCACACACCATGATAACTTGGAAATATATCTCTGTTCCTTCACAGCTGCTAGGTCAAAATATTGGAAAACTCAACCTCACAATGCTGCGTGATTCTCTTTGCCACATTGACTGAAATGGTACAAAATTGTGCAAAATAGAAACTGTCAATAAATTGTCTGTTGTACCCACATCATATGGAAATTTTATGTAAATGCATGTTTTTCTTTGATGATGCAACTGGACCGCACCATTATCTTAGAATATTATTCCTTTGTCACTGGGATTTTCATTTGAACCTAACTGGGTTTTATAGCAGTTCAGGGTGAAATGAGTTTAGATGAGCAGTTTCACTTTACTCATCCTTGATACAAATGCAAAATTTGCACAAAAATCAGTAAATTGAAACAAAAAATTATTATTGGAACAGCTGCAAAAGTAACCAATGTATATTTATAGTGCACTCACCTTGTGGGGTTGCACTTTAGCCCATTCCTGTAGTCTTTTAAACACACCATCATTACATTCAATGATCCAATGCTCTTCAACGTCTAAAGACTCTATCTTGGTGGCTGCAATTGCCATTCCAAATCCAATTTCCAGAACACGTCCTCCTAAGCCAAGAGAAAAAAAATTTGGTCTTATTACTATCTTTTCCCATCATTAGTTGCAGCACAGCATGCGACTTCAATCCAATGCATTTAACACTGTCATTGCACATAGTGATAGTGGTACTGGAATCTGTTGCACAATCAGAAAACAGGCTGGGAGTTAACAGTTAACACAGTGTGGAGCTGGAGGAAGACAGCAGGCCAGGCAGCATCAGAGGAACAGGAAAGCTGACATTTCAGATCGGGATTTAAGGGTCCCAACCCGAAACGTCAGCTTTCCTGGCCTGCTGTATTCCTCCAGCTCCACACTTTGTTATCTCTGACTCCATCTGCATTTCTTGCTATCTCTGGGAGTTAACAGTTGTTGGGTTAGCTATCTATAGTATCTATAGCTCTACCATGAGCTGGTATGCTAGCTGCCACGTTTTGTAGTGCTGTACTAGATAATTGCACTGGCCTAACATTGTCATGTGACTAACTCTAGATCACAGCACCTCTTTACATCCAAATTCCAAGCTAGTATATTTAAAGACGATTGAAAAGTGTTGCTACATTGGAGAACTCAAGGCATTGACATTACCAGACAAAAGGGAGAAAATCAGTAGAGAAGGATGACATTACAACTAAATTTATTTTGCATTTCCAATGATCCTTAAAAACAAATTTTCAGGACAATAGAATCATAGAACCACAGAGGTCTACAGCACAGAGTCTGCCCACAGAGCCTACTCCAATCAAAAACTACCTGACTATTCTAATCCCATTTTCCAGCAAATCTAACCCCACTTTCCAGCTAAAATGTACAAAGAAAGGTTTATGAAACACAAATCATGTAAAATAAAGCATTGGACAAATCATATTTGAAAAATATATATAGGATTTATCTTTTTAATGTTTTTAATGTGTAATGTAGAGGTAAATGCCAGATTATGGAACCTCCCAGCTGCAGCTGTCACTAACCTCACTTCAATTTCTGAATGAATGACAACATTGCACAAGTGTGCAGCCTTTAGGAATGTGGCACAATTCTGACAAATAATGTTACACAGAGGAAATACAAAATTGTGTCTAATCTAATTTTATTGATTTGTTAAAAACATGAAAGTGAATTTGATTTTCATCATTGTGTCTGAAATTGGTCTCCCACATCTACAGTGGCATTACTGTCTAAGGCAGTTTCACACCTTTGCTGAGGAATAAGAATATTCTTCAGAGTGACGTATTCAGAAAAAAATGTGCCTTATAATATCTGGTCTAATTATTGAAAGAATTAGAGGGATCTCATAGAAATCTATAAAATGCTAACAGGACTAGACAGAGTAAATGCAGGAAGAATGTTCCTGATGACTGGGGAGTCCAGAACCAGGAGTCACAGACTAAGGATCATGGTTAGGCCATTTAGGATTGAGATGAGGAGAAATTTCTTCACCAGAAAGTTGTGAGGTGGTGCAACTCTTTGCCACAGAAATTCTCTGCCACATAAAGTGGTTGAGGCCATAACATTGAATATTTTCAAGAATGAGATAGATATAGTTCTTTGGGCGAAAGGGATCAAAGGTTATGGGGAGAAAGCACGTAGAGGGTACAGAGTTGGATGATTAGCCATGATCATATTGAATGGTGGAGCAAGTTCAAAGGGCCAAATGGACTCCTCCATTCCTATTTGTATGTTTCTATGAAACAACAGGATGAGTTCAACCTTACTGCTAACTTAACACATCAACTAGACAAGATTTTGAATGCAATAAAACAGAAAACTGCAGATGCTGGAGATCTGAAACAAACATGGTGGCTCAGTGGTTAGCACTGCTGCCTCCACAGCACCAGGGACCCAGGTTCAAATGTGTGGAGTTTGCACATTCTTCCCATTTCTGCATGGATTTCCTCTGGTCCTCTGGTTTCATCCCACAATCACAAAGCTGTGCAGGTTAGGGTGGATTGGCCATGCTAAATTTCCCCCATAGTGTCCAGTGATTTGCAGGCTAGGTGGATTAGCCATTGGAAATGCAGGGTTATAGGGGTGGGTCTGGGTGGGATGCTCTTCAGAGGGTCAGTGTGGACTCTATGGGCTGGATGGCCTGCTTCCACACTGTAGGGATTCTGTGAAATGGCTGGAGAAATTCTGGAGCATCTGTGGAGAGAAAACTGTTAATGTTTCGAAGCCTGTGACACTTCTTCAGAGATTCTGAGTCTGTGTATAGTTCACTGCACACTTAGGGCCAGTTTTTCATTTTGTCAATCTAATTATAAAGAACATTTGCATTATAACTTTATGGAAAATCTAATCCTTCCTGTGTTGTGGGTGCTCCTGCATACCCACACAAAGAATACCCTTTGTTACAAACAGCACCATGCCATTTCTCCAGTGAACCCAAATGAACAACCTGACACTATTTGTGGACAGTTTCTCTCTGGTCCCCAATAAAATGCTTCAGTCAGCACCAAAGGCAATGGCACCAGAGAAGAGCCGGACAATGTTCCTTAACAGTACTCCACCGTGTACAGTACTGACTACACAACGTTCACACATGTGGTACATATTACTTGAATGCATAATTAATAATCGCAGTGGAAGATAACTAATCAGTAAACTCAGGTAAAATCTAACTTCCCCTTGAATGCAGTTGTAGTACTACATTCCCTCCTAGTCACTGAGATCAAAACTGGATCAGACCACATTTCGGTAGAAACTTTGTACATTCCCTAATAATCTTACCCCTGAAAACAATAGCAACTGAGCAATTAACAACAGTCCACTTTTAAAATCCATGTCGGTATAATCTGATCTTTCAATCTCGAATCTCAGCCCCTAATTTGTACATGTTTTAAAGCACGGAACCTTCGCCTGCACAGCGAAAGGGCGACGGAACTACCCACTGAACTAAAATTAGTTGTGAACTATTTTTTGTCCGAGTGTTCAGTAGAGGTCGTATGAAGGTTGAGTGCTGCAGTAAAAAAAAATTAAGAATGAGAAGTAATATTGAATACGCGTGGGTTCTCTTGTGTAACAGAGGTGACCCAGTTTGTAGAACAGAATCCACGTGAGCAGGATTTTAAACGTGAGGAGAGGGGTTTGGGTAACAGTGATTGTAACTGACTGGAAGGGCGGAGATGACTTGTACCTTTTGAGGCTGCAACAGTAGCCAGGGAATGCATGTATGGAGTCTCCCAGCGCTCCATCACCGGTTTGCCCAGGATCTGTAAATGCGTGTCGCTGTCATTGTACTCGGCGCTTGCTAACCTCCAGTCCGGTTTGCAGTCTTCGCCCTGCAAGAAAATAGCATCTTTGCCTTCCAAACTCATTCTGCTTGCAATCAGGTCGGAGGAAAGGGGGCGATGCCGAATGAACGCTGGTTTATAAGAGCTCCGATTTATGCTGACATTGCAGCTTACCTCTTGTGCCTCCCCCCTTCAACATAAAGCTCGAATGTTCATGTTATCATAAATAAACACGCAGCAGCTGGGGCCTAGCAGTTGTCACCGAGCTTTAGGAATTCTGACAGCAGAGGGAGAGGGGCACAAGTGACTTCATTGTTGATTGTTCTTATTTGGAAGGAATAAAATTCTTGGGGTGGGCTGACAAACATTGGGAGCATTGCCCCCCCATTTCATTGAAAACGTTAATCTTTTATTGGGTAAGTTTTTAAAGAAATTTTTGAATGAGACAGGGATATCACTAGCATTTGTTCACCATCCCTAATGGCCTGGTTTGCTTTCTGGGCAATTTCACAGACTCTATTACATTGCTGTAGAGTGATAGGGCTGGTTAATGAGTTGGCACTGCTGCCTCACAGCGCCAGGGACCAGGGTTTGATTCCAGCCTCAGATGACTGTCTGTGTGGGTTTCCTCTGGGTGCTCTGGTTTTCTCCCACAGTCCAGAGATGTGTAGGATAGGTAGATTGGCCATGCTAAATTGCCCCTAGTGACCTCAGGAATGTGTTAGCCATTGGATTAGCAGGTTCACTGGGATAGGGTGGGATGCTCTTCAGAGGGATTTCGATTGGCCGAATGGCCTGCTTCCACACTGTGGGCTTGTATGATACGTATGCTAGACCTGGTAAGGATAGCCAATTTCCTTCCCTTTCCAGGTGGCTTTTTAATGACAATGGCTACTGTTAGATTAGTGTTTAATTCCAGCTTTTTTTAAAATTGAATCATATTTCATCATCTGCATGGATTGGATTTGAAGCCATGTGTCCCAGAAAATTAGCCTGGGGACCAGGATGTACTAGTGCAATGACATTACCTATACACTGCCACTTCCCAAGAAATAGCTTGGCTAGTCTCTGTAGGACAGGCAGCAGCACGTTGCTGGTTGACTGCAAGCTGACCACTCCATCAAAATATTCCATTTTTTAAAATTACCATCAAAAAGTGAAGAGGCCAAGTTGGCTGATTCACTGCCATAGAAATGCTCCCATGTAAATAGATCATGTTTCTATTTGAAAGGATTGAGAGAAGAACGTGTGGAGTTCTCAGTGTTGGCCACCCCCAAGAATTCTCAATCCTTTCAAATAAGAAGTTAACAATCTTGCTTGCGTGCAATGTCCATCCTGACTGTCTAGTTAGCCGTCTTTCCACAGAAAAGCCTCTTGTGTCCTGTACGCTACGAACTGTCAAAGGAGTAAAATGTAAAAGAAACTAGCTTGTGGCTGATGTTTAACAGATTCATTGGATACCTCCCTTGTGGTCAGCATCTTTATTTACAGTAAAAACAGCCAGAAACTCAGTGGTCTGAGCTACTTCCATGGCTGTTCTTAACCCAGTGGTTGTAAGTCAATGTTGTTCAGTCCTCTGTGCATTCTGCCTAGCATGAGGTCTGGGTGTTGGTTTTCCATTCTGAATTCTTGAGGTTACTCCCTTAGACTAGACACTGAGTCTGCTGCATCTCTGCCTTTGCCTTATAGAAGAGTGGCTATTGTCTGACTCTCAGAAATTTGAATAAATTGTTTTATTTACTGGAGTACAGAATACTGCACTTGGTATTTCAGCTGCCCAGCATCCTTCCTCCATTCCCCTCCTCAGAGTCTCGGTATCATGTGACTATTGAAGTCAGAGTTACATTACACCATGTATATCATCTCATTTATCTCTGCATTCTCATTATACAAGGGCTGTGGTCTATGGGTAATGCCACCGGTAAGCAGAGAAACAAATCTGCATTCATAGAAAAGCAGCATTGCAGTGTGACATTGTCTGACAATTCACTGAATTCAGTCTTGCTTCAAATTAAAAACTTCCTACAGAAAAATACACATTAGCGCTAGGATTAAAACTATACAGCGCGTGTAGGCATTTTTAAATTACTCTTCATAGGATGTGTGCATCGCTGGCCGGGTCAGCATTCATTGCCAACGCCTAGTTTCCTTGAGAAGGTGGTGGTGAGCTGTCTTCTTGCACTGCTGTAGTTCATTGACCCACAATGGAGGGAATTCCAGGATTTCGACCCAGCAACAATTAAGTAACAGCAATATATTTCCGAATCAGGATGGTGAGTGGCTTGGAAAGGAACTTGCAGGTGTTCCTATGATCTGCTGCCATTTTCCCTTGAGATAGAGAGATTGTGATTTTGGAAGGTACTGTCGAACAAGTCATGGTGAATTTTTACAGTGCATCTTGTAGATGGTATGTACTGCTGCTACAAAGCAATTGGTAGTGGAGGGAGTGAATGTTTGTATATGTGATGTCAGTCAAGTGGGCTGCATTGTCCTTGAATGACATCAAGCTTCTTAAGTGTTTTTGGAGCTGCACTCATTCAGGCAAGCGGGGAGTATTCCATCACACTCCTAACTTATGCCCTGTAGATGGTGGACAGGCTTTGGGGATTCGGGAAGTGTGTAACTCACCACAGAATTCCTAGCCTCTGAAGTGCCCTATAGCCACAGTATTTATATTCCCTGAGGACTGGAGAATAGCCAATGTTGTCCCATTGTTTAAGAAGGGTAACAGGAATAATCCTGGAAATCACAGACCTGTGAGTCTGACATCAGTGACAGGGAAATTATTGAAAATGATTCTCAGGGACAAAGTCTACATGCATTTAGAAGCAAATGGACTTATTAGCAATAGACAGCATGGTTTTGTGCGCGGGAGGTTGTGCCTCACTGACTTAATCAAGTCTTTTGATGAGGTGACGAAGATGATTGATGAGGGAAAAGCTGTTGATGTTGTCTACATGGACTTTAGTAAAGTCTTTGACAAGGTCCCTCATGGCAGACTGATACAAAATGTGAAGCCACATGATATCAGGGTGAGCGGGCAAAATGGATACAGAACTGGCTTCGTCATAGGAGACAGAGGGTAGCGATGGACTCCTGCAGAGGTCCCCCGGCACTGAGATGACTGACCATCTAACAACTCCAACCATCTTCCTTTGTGTTAGGTATTACTCCAATCAGTGAAGAATTTTCCCCCTAGTTCTTATTGATTCCAGTTTTGCTAGGGGTCTTTGATGCCACATTCAGTAAAATGTGGCCGTAATGTCAAGAGCTGTCACTTTCACCTCACCTCTGCAAATCAGCTCTTTTGTCCATGTTTGAATCAAGATTGTACTGAGGTCAGGAGCAGAACCTAAACTGGGTGTCACCAGGCAGTTATTGTTGAGCAGGTGCTGTTTGAGAGCACTGTTGATGGCACCTTCCATCACTTTACTGATGATAGACTGATGGGAGGTAATTGGCCAGTTTGAATTTGTTCTGCTCCTTGTATAGAAGACATGTCTGGGTAATTTTGCACATCGTCGGGTAGATGTCATGTTTATTTGCACTGGAACAGCTCGGCTAGTGGCAAGTTCTGGAACACATGTCTTCAGTACTATTGCCGGAGTGTTGTCAGGACCCATAGTCTTTGCAGTATTCAGTGCTTTCAGCTGTTTCTTGATATCACTTGATATTTGTAGGGGGATGCCATAAGACTGGTTTATCCAAGTCTGTTAACATTCTTCAGCCTTGAAGGTGAGCAAAGTTACCATTGAGTGAAACTTAATTTCTTGTAATTCCAAGTTCTTGTTGTCTGGTGCCAGTTTGACAGTGAAAGTAGCAACAAGTTCCAACCAGGAGGAATTGTGGGTCTTTTCTCGTTGCATTGTGAGTGCACCTGTTGATGTGCAGATGGATAATCATGGTCATTTTTAATGGTGGCACCTTAATACTTGTATTAGAAACACACACTCTGTTCTAAAGCAGTCAAGTTGGCAGAAGCTGTTGGGAATTTGCTATAGCTTTGTATGTTTGTGCAAAGATATGAGCTTCAGTTGCTCCAAATATTGAAAGAAACACCAGTTGCTGGCTGACCTGGCATATATTTCAAGTGTTTTTTGCTAACTTGGCAGCACAGTGGCTCAGTGGTTAGCACTGTTGCCTCACAGCAGTAGGGACCCTGGTTCGATTCCAACCTTGGTGATTGTCTGTGTGGTGTTTGCACATTATCCCTGTGTCTGTGTGGGTTTCCTCTGGGTGCTGCAGTTTTCTCCCACATTCCAAAGATGTGCAGGTTAGGTGGATTGGCCATGCTAAATTGCTAATAGTGTCCAGGGATGTGCAGATGGATTAGCCATGGGAAATGGAGGATTATGGGACAAGGGTACAGGGATGGCTCTGGGTGGATGCTCTTCAGAGGGTCAGTGTGGACTTGATGGACTGAACAGTCTGCTTAGAACTTTTATGATTATCTAATTGACTCATAATTATTTATTTAAATACAGCAGGTGAACTGACAATTACGGTATTATTATGGGCGTCATTTCAGGAATGGATGGGAAGGTGACTGACCTGGCATTTGCACTAATTTACGTACTCCCCCTGTAAAATACACATCCAGTGGCGATAAGTCAAATCCAGCTCATTGCTTTCAAATCCTTCCATCCATAGCCGTGTCTCTGTCATCTCCTCCAGTTCACAACTCTCTGAGATATTAAGATTCATCTCATCCTGGCTCTCTTGTTCAATAGTGTCCCTGTGCAACAACTTGGGTTAGTTTATAATGTTAAAGGTGATAAATAGTTGCATATTTTTATTGTTGAATCAAGGCATAGTGGAGAGAGTGGGAAATATTAGGACCGGTTTAGATTATAGAAGTAATATTGACAGACATCTTTGTATCTTCTTTGGCACAGGTGAGGTCCCAGCGTTGTCTCATGTTTAAGAAGGGTAGCGGGGATAATCCAGGAAATGACAGGCCTGTGAGCTTCACCTTGGTGGTAGGGCATTATTGGAAAAGATTCTCAGGTTCAAGATCTATATGCATTTAGAAGCAAATGGACTTATTAGCAATAGACAGCATGGTTTTGTGCGCGGGAGGTTATGCCTCGCTAACTTAATTGAGTTTTTTGAGGAGGTGACAAAGATGATTGATGAAGGAAAAGCAGTTGATGTTGTCAACATGGATTTCAGTAAAGCCTTTGACAAAGTTCCTCCTGGCAGACTGGTACAAAAGGTGTAGTCACATGTTATCGGGGTTAGCTGGCAAGATGGATACAGAACGGGCTTAGTCATAGGAGACAGAGGGTAGCGGTGGAAGGATGCTTTTTGGAAGGTTGTGACTAGTGGTGTTCCACAGGGATTAATGCTGGTACATCTGCTGTTTGTGGCCAACATAAATGATTTGGAGGAGAACGTAACTGGTCTACTCAGTAAGTTTGCAAACAATACAAAGACTGGTGGACTTGTGGGTAGTGAGGAAGATTGTCAGAGAATGCAGCAGGATATAGGTCAGTTGGAGACATGGGCAGAAAAATGACAGATGGAATCTAATCCGGACAAATGTGAGGTGATCATTTTGGAAGGTCAAGTACGGGTGGAAGTTACACAGTGAATGGCAGAACCCTTATGCATAGGGAGCTGAGCGTGCAGGTCCACAGATCACTGAAGGTGGCAGCGCAGGTAGATAAGATAGTAAAAGAGGCCTGCAGCATGCTCGCCTTCTTTGGACCGGTCATCGAGTATAAAGACAGATAAGTTATGTTGCAGTTTTATAGACCTACCAGAAGGAGGTGGATGCTGTGGAGAGGGTACAGAAAAGGTTTACTAGGATGTTGCCTGGTATGGGGAATTTTAGCTGTCAAGAAAGGCCAGACCATCCACAACCTCATTACTTCAAGTGACCTCCTACCCACAGCCTTCAACCTCATTGTTCCCCAACCCCGCACCACCCGTTTCTATCTCCTTCCCAAAATCCACAAACCCGACTGCCCTGGTCGACCCATTGTCTCCGCCTGCTCCTGCCCCATCGAACTTATCTCTACTTACCTCAACTCCATTTTCTCCCCCCTGGTCCAGGAACTCCCCACATACATCCGTGACACCACCCACGCCCTCCACCTCCTCCAAAACTTCCGCTTCCCTGATCCCCAACACCTCATCTTTACCATGGATGTCCAGTCCCTATATACTTGCATTCCCCATGCAGATGGCCTAAAGACCCTCCGTTTCTTCCTGTCCCGCAGGCCCGACCAGTCCCCCTCCACTGACACCCTTATCCGCTTAGCTGAACTCATCCTCACCCTTAACAACTTCTCCTTCAATTCCTCCCACTTCCTACAGACAAAGGGGGTGGCCAAGGGTACACGCATGGGCCCAAGCTATGCCTGCCTCTTTGTAGGAAATAGTGGAACAATCCCTCTTCCGCAGCTACACTGGCACCATCCCCCACCTGTTCCTCCGTGACATCGATGACTGTATCGGCACCACCTCGTGCACCCACGAGGAGCTCAAACAGTTCATCCACTTTACTAATACCTTCCACCCCAACCTTAAGTTCACCTGGACCATCTCCGATACCTCTCTCTCCTTCCTGGACCTCCCTGTTTCCATCTCTGGCAACCACCTGGAAACCGATATCTACTTCAAGCCTAGAGATAACAAGGTATAGAGTTGGATGAACACAGCAGGCCAAGCAGCATCAGAGGA